CTCTCTGGAATGGAACAATTTCCTAACAGACCTTCTGCCTTGAACAAGCAACCCAAATGTTTTAAATCTTGGTGATTTAAAATTAACAAAAATTCTGATTATTCACCCCAAATCTGGTTAACAATAGTGGTAGAAGGTCACAGATTTTACTCCTCCCATAATGCCAATTGTAGAAAATAACTCACCTGACACTCTGGGTCACCAAATCTGCAGTTAAATTCCAGAACTTTAGGCCCATCTTTGGTGAGCATTAATCCAGCATAAAGCACACCTGGAACAAAAAATAATACATAAAGATCTCTCAGGAACTCACTTGTTTTGAATCTGTTGATAACAGGATTTAAATGGCTGTCACCTGTGAATTTGAGAAATGGTAAAAATAAATCAGGCAGAAATAGTTGTCACAAATTTAGAGCTTATTTTGGAACATTTTCCTTTCTGCTCCTCCTCATTAGAGGAATTATCCCCTGTTCATGACCTCTGTTGATTTCCATGGGCTCTAAATCAATGCACTGGTACCAAACCCAGCTCCTAATGAATCAAAGCTGTTTCCCTTAACCTCCAGTGTGAGTTAGGCTACAAAGAGGAAAAAGCAAAATAAAAGGTTGTTCTCCTTATGATTAAAAATCCCAAGGTTTTGTACGTACCCAAATAGGGGACTCCTTCTTTCCTCATGCCATCAACAGCCTTCTGAAGAACAGTCTCTCTGATCTTCTGCAGCAAATCTTTAGAAATCTGATAAAAAAGGATTGGAAACCAGTGTTTGTAAAAAAGGAGGGCTTGGTTTTGTGTTTTTAAGAGCCAAGCAGAATTCTTGGATGCTCTCTTGCTCACTCCAATGGAAAGCTAAGAATGTTTTCCTCTCTATTTCTGCTAACAGAAGTTCCCTACCAAACAAACCCCAAACTACCTTAAGCCACAGCCAAAATTCACCATGGGCTTTGTTTGGCACAAATAAAAACTTTGTGTTTAGGCCCTTGGTTCTGATGAGCAGCATTTCATAACACTTAAATCCCAACCAAATACAAGGATGCAGAAATAACACTGCCTACTTTGTAATTCCAAGTAATTCAGTGGAGATACCCTCCTCTTTAGAGAAGTTTGTGGAGCTGGGGATTTGACTTGGCCATGCTTTGGGCAGCAACTTCCATCCAGCAGAGCCCATTGCCTCCTGCTCCTCATGCTGGAATCAAACATTCCCCCAGGCTGTCAGTGACAGCTGGAGTGAAGCATGCCCTCAGCAGTCCCTTTCCCTTCCTCACCAACCCTTGCTCACCTGAGGAGCTGGGCAGTAAGCTCCCATCCCTCCCGTGTTGGGGCCCTCATCTCCATCCATCAGCCTCTTGTGGTCCTGGGCTGGGGGCATGGGAGCAATGGTGACACCATCACTGAAGCACAGGCACTGAAAAGGACAAGAGTTAAAGTTCCTGGGGGTGGTTACAATTAAAGTGCAAACAGAGTTGATTTTCAGTGTGACAAAGGGGTATTTAAGAGGATAAACTCTGCCTCCCTGATAAAATAAATGATGGGTTCAAAGCATTTGTCTTTTCCTCGGGAAGCAGGGACTCATTTTGTGTGACCTTCCCTTAGAAATTAATAAAGCCTAGAAAAATTGCAGTTGAAGTTTGAGTTTGAAACACTCAAAAGGTTAAAAAAAAATTAAAATACTGCATGATGGAAATTACTTTTTCCTTTCCCCTCCCAGCCCCTGCCCCAGAAGGAAGGAATTACATCTCTTTCAAGACTTCCTTTTCCTTGCTGATAAAACAATTTACTTGTGAAAAATTTATCAATTATTTCCATAGCAGTTGTTTTTATCCTCAGTATCTTTAGAATAACAAGGCTGCTGGCATCTTGTGGAACTGGATGATGTTGTGCACTCAAACTGAGTAATGCTGGATTTTAATGGCAGCAGTACTCAAAACCATTTTGCAGTGCTAATTATAAAACCAGCAAGGATCCAAAATAAGCCACACAGGTGTCTCTCATCAATACAATTTTATTTATAAGCAGGGAATGGTTTTAATTTAACTGATAAAATCCTCCACTCTGTAGGTGAAGGCACTTAGTGAATCCCAAACAATTTAGAACATGTAGAACCAAAGTGTTACAGTGAGATGCACTTACAGAAATTTCTTCTCCTTCAAGATATTCTTCAACAACAACAGTCTCCCCAGCTGTGCCAAAACTCTTATCCTACAGTGAAACAAAATCTCTTTAGTTCTGTTCCAGTTTTCAACTACTGAAAATGCAACAAGAAATGGGTATTTTTAATACAGCCAAAAATGCAACACAGGTTTGAGATGATGAATCCATTTCTCCCCCCCAAGGATGTCAGCACTGGTGAAATCCCTACTCCTCTCTTTATTCTTAAATAAATGCAGGATTTATTAGTGAATATTTTCAAATAGCAGAGGGTATTTGTGATTAATGAGCAATTCCTCATGCTCTGCCTTCTGAAATTCACCCCAACAGCAGTGACAGCCAAGTCTCCAGTCTGCACTTCCACTGGATAAAAAAGTGCAATTTTATACAACACCTGGGAAGGGAGCAAGATTCTCACACCTCAGTGCAATGTTTGAACACTGACTGCATATTCTGGATAATAAGAAATTAAGAACAACAAGCCCACACTGCCAAGGTGATTTTGGGGCTCTGTAGAAATCTCTAATTCAGTTTTTTTTGTAGAAGACATTGGGCCCTGTTCAGACATGAAGTGTGCAGTGACCATAGACCCCCAAAATGTGACTGCAGCACCCATGCTCTGACTCCTGAAGCACAAGTGTGTCACAGAATGTGTCCCATGGAGCAGCAGAGCTCCATGGAATTTCAGGGTTCTGTGCTGCTGGCACCAGCTGAGGGACTGACCTGGGAGCCTCAGCTCTGTGCTCCTCACTGGGCAGATAAAATTACTTCATTTGGCCTCACTTCAAATCTTCCACAAATACATTTGTGGAATATCCTTCCTCTGTGTGAACTTCACTTGAAATAATCCCAGCAGAGTTTGACTACACATTGAAGTGCTGGGCTTGGTCCTCATGGTGCTTGAAAAGATCCACCTCAAGCACTGAGGAGTTCATGCTCCTGCACTGTGGGATTGCAGAGTCTCATACAGTGGAAAAAAAAAGGAATTGTATATATAAATTAGTGAAATAAGAGTGGGTTTTCATGAAGAATGGTTTTATTTTAGCCTACAGGAACTGCAAGCCATAAATAAAACAGAGTTTCACAGGTGGCCAAATAAAAGGGTAAAAGGTTTGATGTCTTAGAGCCATGCTCCTATCACATGAAACAAGGAATGTCTGTGATGCCCTGAGGTGGTGAGGAGCTGATCTGGTGTGAGACATTCCTTCTCACCTGCATGATTTCAGTGACAGCTTTGCAGGCCTCCTCCTTGGTCGTAGCCACGATGACTCCTTTGCCAGCTGCCAGGCCACTGGCTTTGACAACCAAGGCAGGGAAGGTGGCACTGCCAAGGCACAGGACAGACATTCAGCATCAACAGTCCTTGCAAGGACATTTTGAACATTTCAAGAGTTGAAAAACCAAAGTGCTTCTCAGTTTTCATGGCAACCTCACTGAACAACACACAAACCATACCAGGCTCCTCCCGTTATGCTCTGCCTGAGAAAGGTTCCTGCTTCTTTTCCCCACCAGGGAATTTCCTGACTGTTCATTACTGATTTCCATTTGGGAATTTCATCTAGGGTCACCTGGCTTGCACTGTGATGAGATCATCAGTTGCTGAGTAATTCTCCAGGTTTTTTTTTTTCTGGAGAAAAGGGATAAGAAGCCAGCACAGATGGCTCTGGGCTGCTCCCTGCCTTTCCCCAGCAGGCAGACTGACAAAAAAATAGCAGCTTGTCCTACATTCTCCTGTGAACTGAACACTGAACTTGCATTCCATTTTAGAGCAGGAGGAACCATTTTTCTCAGACTTGCTGCAGTTTGAGAGAGTCATAGTAGGTGATCCTTTGAAACCTTTGCAGATGTTCTATCCCAAAGCAATCATTGGATTGGTTTGGATATCCAGCACACTGTCAATAACAATATGTCTAAAATGACCAGAACTGTACCTGTTGATGAAGGCACATGCTGCTTTGGGATCAGTGAAGGATTTCCATCTGGCAGTGGGGATGTCATGACGATCCAGAAAGGCTTTGGTGAAGCTCTTACTGGACTCCAGCTGAGCTGCCTTTGCTGTGGGGCCAAAACACTTGATCCCAGCTGCTGTCAAGTCATCCACAATTCCTAAACACAAAGTATGTCATAAATCTCCAGATGATCTATGGGAGTCAGGCCAGCCAAGCTGCACTGATTCCTTGGAGCAAGAATGCCAGGAATAAGAAGTCATCTGTGTCTGCAGTGCCTGCTCTCCTCACTGGAACCAGGAGCAGTAACTCTGCACCACTGCAGGCCCTCAGGATGCACTGGATTTGGGAAGGGATGACAATCCCCTCTTGGTTTAAGACACCTTTGAGCTAAAAGGTCAACATGAGTCTTTGGTGAAGATACCAAAAATTTTAAGCGGAAAAACTACCAGCATGTTTATAATTAGTTGGTTTTTTTGGTTTTTTTTTTTTTTTTTTTTTTTTTTAACCAAGACTCAAATTATAACTCTTTAAAAACATGAAAACTCCATGGGACAACCAAAACTGGCTTTCTGCCTCACACACTACCCTTCAGCAATTCCTTTTCACCTCGGCACAACTCTGGATTTCAGGGAAACTGCTCCAGAGGATCTGTTTCCATTCAGACTGGAGACACTGCTGAGTGATGCACTTATGAGGACTAAATTTACTTTTTTTCCTAAATGCTGAAGGCTGTGATTTCCAGCTTGTGGCTCTTACCAGCAGCAAGAGGAACCTCAGGACCGACCACCACAAGCCTGATGTCCTGGTCCCTGCAGAACTGGGCAACAGCAGCATGGTCACTGACTGGAACAGCTGTTGGATTAAGCTGTGCCCGGGAGACCAGATGCTCTTTTGGTTCTCCTCTCCCTTAGGCTCTCCCTCTCTCCTTCCCCCTTTTCCCCTCAGTAACCATGCTGCTCCCAAGGATGGGACCCCAATAAACCCCAATAAAATCAGCACCCTCAGAAGCCCTGTGGAGTCTCCTTGCCTGCCTCCAGTGAACACACAGCTTAGGGGGGCCCACCAAACAAACTGCATCCCCATGGAGCTTTACAGAGGTAAGCAAGGATGGATGGGGCTTGGAGCAGCCTGGCACAGTGGAAGGTGTCCCTGCCCATGGCAAGGGTGGCACTGGGTGGGTTTTAAGGTCCCTTCCACCACAAACCATTCCACAATTCTGTGATTTTATGATCTTGGTGCCAGGAGGGTGTTGGGGAGGAAACAAATGGCTGCTGGTAGAATTCCAGCTCATCTTTTACTGAGCCTTCTGAAAGCAAGGGGAATCAGAACCTTTTGTTTTACATGATGTTGAACTTAATTAAGAAGGACACTGTGCTGTCATTATGGCTGAGGATATGTGGGGTTGGGCTGTTACAACCATTATGTTTCCAAAAACAAACATTCAATGTGATGACACTTGGAATGCCCCAAACTGTGCAAACAAAGACAATAATGTCAATCCCATGACCCAAGTTACGCAAAAGGCCCTGCAATTGCACTGCTTTTATCATGAATAAATAAAGCCAAGGTCTGCAGGGATGGGAGCACGGATCCAGAGAGCCAGGAGAGAGATGAGCCCAGTGTGGATTGGCTGCTTGTGCAGGGAGGAGACTGCACACACCTGGGCACGGTGCTGGCAAAGGGAGCATAGGATGCCAGGATCATCAGGGCTGGAAGAGCCCTCAGGACCACCCAGTCCCACCCAGCAGCACCCCAAACCCTGTCCCCAAGGCCACATCCAGACACCTTTAGGGTATTTCCAGACACAGAGACTCCACCACTCCCTGGGCAACTTATTCCAAGGCCTGACCACTCTGGCAGGGAAAAATTGTTTCCAGTCTCCAATGTGACCTGCCCTGGTGTAATTTAGGGCCATTTTCTTTTGTCCTTTCCCTTGGGACCTGGCAATACAGCCAGTTTCTAGGGAGTGATGAGAGACGAAAGGGATGACAGGATTTTGGTCAGTCCCACTGTGTTCCACCTACCCTGGATGAATAAACTCATAGAATCATTGAACCCCAGATTTCTTTGGGCTTAGAGGGACCTTAAATCCCACCCAGTGCCATGGCAGGGACACCTCCCACTGTGCCAGGCTGCTCCAGCCCCAGTGTCCAGCCTGGCCTTGGGCACTGCCAGGGATCCAGGGGCAACCCCAGCTGCTCTGGCAATTCCATCCCAGCCCCTGCCCACCCTGCCAGGGAACAATTCCTTCCTGTAAAATCTCCTGACTCCACAACAGAATCTACATTTTGTTATAGATTTGCCCTATTCAGGTGGGGTGGGGGAACACCCACTCAGAACACAAATAAAAATCACCTCCTTGGCACCTCTCTCACAGCCCAATTATTTTGTTCCACCAACAAAGGCATTTGACTTCCCTGTGCAGCTGATGCCAGTTGACTTCTGGCTCACCCAAAAGCAAAACACACCTGTGCCAGGGCTTGCCCCCCACGGGGAACAATTCCTAATTCCCAATATCCCATCCATCCCTGCTTTCTGGCAGTGGGAACCATTCCCCCTTGTCCCTCTGCAAGCAGGAAAGGAGAGAGCCTGGAATTCACCCCAGATTTCTTGCTGCAGGTCTGATCTCATGATATGAACAGTGAGTGTGGCACAAGATTTACACGATGGAGAAATGTGCTAACAACAAACAAGAAGGAACAAGTCGTGTTGTTTATCCATGATTTTAACTTTCCTCCCAAACATCCTTTTTCTCAGGTTGTTGGCTGAAAGGGGACATTTCTGTAGCTGTGTTTGACTGCTTAAAACAACAGCTGAACATTCCTCTGGAACCAGACAGGGGGACCCTGGCCCAAGGCTTTCAAGGATGGAGCTTAAATTTCAGAGCAAAAGCTACACTGAGAGGTAAAATGTGACAGCAGGAGGTGTCAGGATGGTGAAGTCCATTCACAGACACACCTATTCATTCAGCAAGCCATTGTCTGTGCTTCTGCACCAAAACTGCCCTGATAATCCACCTAGATTAAATATAAACCTGTATTTAGGCACCCAACCTAAATCCCACTTTATTGCTGGAAACAATTACCAGCTCAGATCAACCACAAAAAATTTTCTTACTTGAATACAAAGTTTGAAAGATTTGAGGTTATTTGTAATTTTCAGCTCAATTTTTTATGTTTCAGTAATCACACAAGACCCAGAGCTGCAATCCTAATTAAAGGCAATTCCATGATCCATGAAGGGAGGATGAACTTTCAGAGCAAAATCTTGATTATACAAAAAAAGCACCAGAAGCCAGGGAAGGAGTTTCCCAGATATTCCCAGATATCCCAGGTATTGTTTCCCACACAACATAACACGGCTCATGTGCTTCTGTAAGTCTGTTCCCCATTTTCCACCCTGAGTTAAATCAAAGCCCCAGTGACAGCACTGGAATTCCTGAACAGGTGAGACAAATTCTTTCCTTAAAAACCAACATAAAACTCTTCATAAATTCTAGGTTCTTCCTGGGGTGGTGAAGATTTCTCTCCCAAAGCACAGGTGAGCCCATGTGCAGAACAAAACCATTTATTCCACATGGAAATTTCATGGACCTGGCTCAAGATCAAGCATTTCCCACAACTGGTGCAATGTTTTTTATGGGATGAAAGAGAGAAAAAAACAGGGGAGGTTTTCAAAAGCACAGCTTGAAAAAAACTGCTGGAGTTCCCATTCCACAGGCCCTGCAGCCTGGCACTGACCCCATTTAGCACAAGGGTAAAGGGGTTTTTTGTCTTTCTGATCTTCTCCTCAGAGGCCAAACAGAGCAAAAAAACAGAGTGAGGAGCTCACTCATGAAGCTGAGACTGGACAAAGAAATTCAGGACAAAGTTGTTTCAAAAGCCTGTAATTGAGCATTCCAAGGGAATTCCATTCAACAATTACCTGCTGTACAAGAACCTGGCAGCACTCACGTTTCCATGGGACAACAACACACAAAGCTACTCCCACAGCAACACGAGTGCAGAAATGGATGTGTCTGATCCCCATGCACATACATCCTGTGTTACCTTGAACTCCACATCTTATCACATGTTCTGAAGGGAAAACTGAAGTTTTAGGCAGGTTAAAGCCTCTAAATCAGGATCTGCTGTGTAAAGGACACAGGAATCTCTGTGCTCTGGACTGATTCCCTGGGTGTCAGCTCCTCAGGCTTTTTTGAAATGCAGCTCCAAATTTTGGATGCTCAATTTGCAACATCTGAAGCTTGATTTCTCAAAATTAGTAACTGTGAAAAGTCTCAATTACAGCCAGTCAGAGCTCCAACCAAGCAGGCAGTACACAGAGAAATATCTGAAGATAACCTTGATTTTTTAAGGTCACTAAGACAAAGGAATGAATTTATGCTCACAGTGACAGAGTGTTCTTGTCACAGCCTGTGGGGATCATGGGGTTTCAACACATTTCTGAGAGCACAAGAGGGAGTTTAGGTGGCAACCACAGCAACTATCCTGAGCTGGATTCCCAGAGGAACAGCTCTGGCTGAATCCTCCAAACCCAAACCTAAAGAATGAGACTTCAGAGCTGAGATCTTATAAAATTAATTCTACAACTTACACAAGGCTTTGTTAATTTTTTTTTTCTCTTATTAACTGCATCTAAAATCTATTTCACATGCCCAAAACCTTAAAAAATAGTAATCCATTATCATCATCCATCACGAGTTTGTTTATGGGTTACGTTGATTTATGGGGTATTGTTTTAAAGATGACTTGGTTAAAGGTAAAAGTTTTTATTATTTTTTTTTTAAATTATTTCTATTTTTGAGAATAGAGATTTTTGGGGGTGCGTATAGGATTTTTTTATGGGATTGTTGTTATATACATTAACCAATAAATCTTAAAATTTAAAAAATCTTAAATTAGCAAACCAGAACCACTACAGAAAAACTAACCAGCCAGTTTCAAAGTAAAACCACCACAATCATCATCATCATCATTATTTCATTATCATCATCGTCCTTTCACACTACCAGCTGCGATTTCAGCTCAGCAACATCCTGGCTGAATGATCAAATTTAAAATTGGTATTTTTTTTGTTTTACCTGAATTGGAGATTTTCCCATTGTCAGCTGTGCCTGCATTTCCTGGAGCCACAAACACGTGTTTGACGTGTGAGGACTGTGCCAGCTTCCAGGCCAGGGCGTGCTCCCTGCCGCCGCTGCCGATGACCAGCACCCGCTCAGCCATGGCCCTGCAGGACACAGGAAAACAGCTGGAATTAGCTGGGGAAGGTGGGCAAAGCAAGAGCTTCAGGGACCATGAAGTGCTGGAGAACTTCATCAGATACATGCAAAACTTCATCAATGATACACACTAAACCTCCAAGGCTGAGCTGACCCAGAGCACGGCAGGAACCCGCCAGGAAAACCATCCTGGGTTTGATTGGAAACTGCTCCCACTAATACAGAAATCTGGGACAGAGGAAAAGACTCTGCTGAGTGACCAGGCTGGGATTTGCAGCCTAGAGAATCACAGAGTCCCAGAAGGGTTTGGGTTGGAAGGGACCTTAAAGCCCAACCAGTGCCACCTCTGCCTACCATGGACAGGGACACCTTCCACTGTGCCAGGCTGCTCCAAGCCCCAGTGTCCAACCTGGCCTGGGACAGGGATGGGGAGTCCACAGCCCCTCTGAGCAACAATTCCTTGGAGAATCCAAACCTGCAAAGCCCTTCTGATGCACCCATGGAATGAACACAGAGTGTTTGGCCCACATGGGGCTGTTCAAGAGATTTTACAGGCAATGACTGAAAAGCTCTGAACACCTCATGGAAAGGAAAGGCTCCAAGCAAGGAGACAAGAAAGTAACTTCCAGCTCTGGCTTTCCTTGGAGAGGACAACCACGAGGTGGAATTAAAAAGGAGCTCACTCAGCCAAGGTAGAGGGGGGTATCCACTGCACTCTCCCATTCCAGGGAGGTTTGGATAAACACATGGGCATTCTGCTGGCCAGTGGCAGTGGGAGTGTGGGTGACCACGTCATCACCTGGTGTGCACAGCCAGCTTACGCACGTGGAGCTCACAGCAAAAGGACAGCGTGTCCTCTGAGCAGCTCTGGAAACCTCTGCTCCCTGAGATTCACTGCTGTGTGTACTCTCCACATATTGACTGATGGAAGAGTTCACTGACAAAATCCACTAGAGTACAGAAAACAGTAAAGAAAGAAACAAAGGAAGGACATAATTTATAAACTAATTATGTATGTCCTCATTTGGAGCTAAAATAATAGTTTGGTTTGGGTTGGAAGGGACCTTAAAGCTCATCCCATTCTAACTTGGCTACCATGGACAGTGACACCTTCCCCTGTGCCAGGCTGCTCCAGCCCCAGTGTCCAGCCTGGGCACTGCCAGGGATCCAGGGGCAGCCCCAGCTGCTCTGGGAATTCCATCCCAGCCCTGCCCACCCTGCCAGGGAACAATTCCTCATTGCCAAGATCCCATCCATTGCTGCCCTCTGGCACTGGCAGCCATTCCCTGGGTGCTGTCCCTGCAGGCCTTGTCCCCAGTCCCTCTGCAGCTCTCCTGGAGCCCCTTCAGGCCCTGCCAGGGGCTCTGAGCTCTCCTGGAGCTTCTCCTCTCCAGGTGAGCACCCCCAGCTCTCCCAGCCTGGCTGTAGGGATCAGCTCCCATTCTCCCACTGCTGGGAGGGGGAACAGAGCCCAGAGAAGAGTTCAGGACAACAAAAGGAGCCACGAGTGCCCCTGATGTAATCCCAGCACACACAACACACAGGCAGGGTCACTCTCTGCACCGCCGGTCACTGACCCGCACGTGGCCGGTGCCCTGGTGAGCTCAGAGCCCCCTGTGCAGGAGGACAAGAGGGGATATACACAAAATATATCTTAGGAAAGGGGAAAAAACCAAAACAAAATCCAGGAGATTTCTAAGGGAAAAGCAAAAATTATCCAAAGCAGATTTTCAGTAAGGCAGGGATGTGCCTTGCCCTCACATCAGCTGCCACAGTTTGACTTGACTAAAGCTGCCCTGATGAGGCAAAATATCTGCATTAGGCAAAACATCCCGACAGAATAAAATCAAAATAAATGTGGGTACAAGGATAAAATACAGAAAATTAACACCGAGTTGTTTGCTATCAACTAAACACACCAGAGCTAATATTTAATGGTAGTTTCATGCTGGGGGAGACCAACAGGTTTCTAATCCAGTGTTAAGCCAAATGTAGATATTGCAAAGTTACAGACATGTTTTAATTATAAACCTCCATGATTACTTGAAATAAAAAAGCTCAGGTTAGGCTAAAAATTATCAGTTATGGTATAGATATTTGGGAAACCACATGATGCTCAACTCTTTTCTATTACAACTCAAGCAAGAAGAAAAGGTAAAAGAATGAGGGATACAACAAAGGGGTGGATTAGATAAAGACAGAAATATAACAGTAAGGTAGAAGAGCATTGATCACACAGCAGGCAGCTGTCTCCTTGAAGTCAAATGAGCATTGCCAGTGGTACCCAGAGCCAGTGGCCACTAGGCTGTACTTTTTAAGGCAAATTTTATCAATAATAAGTTGAACGATACACAATATGATTTTCTAAAAACAATTAAAAAATCAAAACTTTTAAAATGTTAAAAAATTTAAATTGAAAAACATTAAAACTTTACACCTGGATGATTTTAAACCCAAGAGAGCCCCTACTCACTGTGTGCTATGTGTATTAGGCTGAGGAGAGCAGGACTCGGGAGCTCAGAGGCACAAAGAGAGAAAAGATTGGCAGGCCCTGGTTAAAATGTCCTTGTCCAAACATTACCACCCCACTGATAACCCTGTGTCCAGCCAATGGAAGGGACCCCCAGGTATTCCAGGTGCAACAGGGGACAGAAGCTTGTTACAAGCACTCTAGGAGTCAGAGGCAAAAGCTTTGCAGGACTGATCACACTGATCAGCACAGCCTGAAGACCCAGTGACACTGTGGCCACCTCATGGGACTCACCATGATGGCAACTCCAAGTGTCACTGCTTCTCTTCCCTGAAGTAACACATTCTGGCACTACTGTCGGATGAAAGAATTCATCACATACAGGACAAAGCTTTCTGTGGGAGCAGTAAACAGAACAAGCCATGTCTGCTATTGTCAAATAATACTGAATCATTTCATACCAAAATGTGAGTGAAGGTTAGGTTTCACACGTTTGTTTTGAAGCTCAGTGTTATTTGTGCATCCCACTATGGCATTCTAGCAACTTTTATCTATGAATGTGGCTTGAGAAGATTTTGTGGTGGCAGTGCCAGTTCAGGAGGCTCTGATGTAGCCAGTTTTATTTTACAGACACTCAAGGATGTCATGGAGGCCCCTCTGCTGCCCAACAGGACCTCACTTTAAAAATGAAGATCCTATGAGGCAACAGTTCTTTTTATTTTTGTCACTAATGCAGCAGACAAAAATTTGTTCTCTAAAGAGCTAAAATCATTCACAAGGTAGATATTTACTCTGTGAGAATTATCACACCCCCAGGATTTTTTGGAAGCAACGTGTGAAATCCTTAAAGATTTTAAACCATTGGATATGGGATGTCATTACCTTCTGCACCCATTGTCTGCTTTGGTAAAGAAGGAGGAGATGTTTGTTTACAAGATGTTTTAAAATGAAGACAAGGGACATTTCAGAAGAGGGTCTGTTGTTAGATCCTTATATGAAGTGAGAACAGGGAAGAAGAAATGAGTTAATCACTCCGTGTGTCCAGGAGGAGAGGAGGCAAGGACAGACTGAAGACAAGGAGATTTCCAGAGCTTATCCTCAAGGGTGCCAGGACAAAGCCAGCAGGCAGGAGCATCAGCTCAGAGACCTTTATCCTCACTGCAGGAAGGCAGCTGGGGCTCACCAACAAACCAGGGAACTCTTCCTCGTGAGCAGGGCCTGTGGAGCAGAGAAAACCAAGTGAGGGAGGAAACTGCACAGTGCTGAGAGCTCTCCCCACCCTGATTCCTGCACAGGGCACGGGGAGGCTCCAAACACAGGGAGCAGTGGCATGAGGCTGCTCAGGTGCTGTCCCTTCCTGTGTCCCTTCCCAGGGACAGGAGCCACTGACCTTCCTGGGGAGGCTCCAAACACAGGGAGCAGTGACATGAGGCTGCTCA